AAAAAAAAAAAAAAAAAAAAAAAAGGAAGAAAGAAAGAAAGAAAGAAAGAAAAGCCTTATTTTTATGGAGACAGCTGACATTTCATGCTACTGCCCCAATAGTCTCAAATCAGAGATTAATCAGGCGCATTAGCAGCACTTGAAGCTCACGTTTATGTGAAACACAATATCCTGAACTAGAAAAACTGCATCCTAAGAAATGAAAAGTAATAAAATATAATCAGGTCCTAAGGCAAAAAGAAATGCAGGCGAAATAAATTCTTCCTCTTCTTTCCCTGTACCTGAGTCCTCAGTGAAATCTTGAGCTTAAGAAAAAGAGACAGGCAGCGCCTGTGGCTCACTGGGCAGGGCGCCGGCCCCATATACCGAGGGTGGCAGGTTCAAACCTGGTCCCAGTCAAACTGCAACAAAAAAATAGCTGGGCGTTGTGGCAGGTGCCTGTAGTCCCAGCTACTTGGGAGGCTGAGACAAGAGAATCGCCTAAGCACAGGAGTTGGAGGTTGCTGTGAGCTGTGTGATGCCACAGCACTCTACCAAGGGCGATAAAGTGAGACTCTGTCTCCACCAAAAAAAAAAAAAAAAAAAAAAAAAAGACTTGAAATTTTCATTTTTATGGTGAGCCACAGTGGCTCATGCCTATAATTCTAGCACTCCAGGAGGCCAAGAAGAGAGGATTCCTTGACCTCAGAAGTTCAGAAACCAGCCTGAGCAAGAGTAAGACCCTGTCTCTACAAAAATAGAAAAACTACCTGGCAGGCACCTGTCGTTCCCAGCTACTCAGGAGGCTCAGGCAAAAGGATTGCTTGGGCCCTAGAGTTAGAAGCTGTTGTGAGCTATGACACCAGGGCACTACTCTACCCAGCGCGACATAGATAATATTTTTTAAATGTACATACTTTTTTTGGCATCCCCAGTATTAAATAGTGAAAACAATTTTAGCAAGCTCAAATAACTTAATCTAGGCACAGCCAACTAATATTTAGATAGCAATGTCTGAATTTCGGAAAAATAATATTTTAAATTAATGATTCTTACCAATTGGTTCTTTTTAATGTATTCTATTAGTTTATCTATTTTCTCCCCTTGTCTGTTTGATAATTCCACCTCATACAAATTGGAGCACAAATCTTGGCAATACACTGTAGAGGAAAATGAGAAAAAGATTTTTTTTTCTGAGAAAAACATTTATTTTTAATATATTTTTATGTTTTTATAATCAACTTTATTCATTTTCTTTTTTCTTTTTTTAAGACAAGAGTCTCACTATGTCACCCTCGGTAGAATGCCATGGGATCACAGCTCATAGCAACCTCAAGCTCTTGGGCTCAAGCGATTCTCTTGCCTCGGCCTCCCAAGTAGCTGGGACAACAGGCACCGCCACAACACCTAGCTATTTTTTTGTTTGTTTGTTTAGCAGGCCCAGGCCAGGGTCGAACACACCAGCCCTGGTACCTGTGGCCAGCGCCCTAACTACTGTGCTATGTGCACCAAACCAACTTACTCATTTCTGCATTATTAAAATGAAAGAATAGAAATTCTACTCAAAAATACTTTTATTAATGTTCTTGATTATAAAACTCCTTAATAAAAGGCCATTGAAATAATTATTTTAAAACAATGCTCCCTTATTGACATCACTATAGGTCTACCAAGATGAAGAAATACTATAAAATAATATTTCTAGAACTATCCTCAACAATCAGAAAATTCCCTTCTTACATTTTGTTTTTCTTTCATTTGAGATTAAAATAATAAATAAGGCTCAGCGCCTGTGGCTCAAGTGGCTAAGGTGCCAGCCATATACACTTGAGCTGGCAGGTTGGAATCCTAAAACCATAGGATTCCATGCCCACCAAACAACGATGGCTGCAACCAAAAAAATAGCTGGGCACTGTGGCAGGTGCCTGTAGTCCCTGCTACTTGGGAGGCGGAGGCAGGAGAATGGCTCGAGCCCAGGAGTTGGAGGTTGCTGTGAGCTATGATGCCACAGCACTCTACCCAGGGCAACAGGCTAAGGCTCTGTCTAAAAAAAGATAAAAATAATAAATAAATAAACAAACAAACAAACAAATAAATAAATATTCTGTTCTCCTGAAGAGGAATGCTTACAAGTTTCCAACTATTTTTAGTATCTGTTTGCTTAATCCCCTTAGTGTTCTATATTAAAACTAGTCTTTGACATCTTGGATGAAATAGCCTTTCCCAGTTTCTAGTTGGTCTCTAAGGAACTAAAAAACATATTAATAGTAACACAACTTTTTTACAAAACACCCTTTTAAGAATCACTTAAGATGAGGAGACAGAAGTGAGAGCAAGCAAGCATGTGCTTAGAAGACAAGGTAGAAAATAAGTGGACAAAGCTGTGTGTCATTACACTTCAACAGACCTTTTTGCTCCAAGTAATTCTGTTTTCTGAAGGCAGCTTCTGGTAGTCTTTTTTTCAAGGAAGACACTTTTATTATATACTTAAAATCTAGTTCCTGTGGTCTAAAAAAAAACAAAACAATATCCAACAGTTCAATAAATACTGGAACTATAGCCCCATAGCTTTTGGTTTTCTAATATACATGCAAATGAAATATCACAACTACAAAAAAAAGCCCTTAAATTGATATACTCCAGGGTAAACAGCATGCATGCTTATAGATATGACCCACAGACCATGGCCTGCAAAATGTTCACATTTCTGATATAAACAAAACATCTATACATGTCAAAAAATTATGTACATAGGAACTGAGAATTTTATTTTTCTGAGACAATCTCACTATGTTGCCCTCACTAGAGTGCCGTGATATCACAGCTCACAGCAACCTCAAACTCTTTTTTTTTTTTTTTTTTTGAGACTGAGCCTCAAGTTATCCCCCTGGGTAGAGTGCCATGGCATCACGCTCACAGCAACCTCCAACTCCTGGGCTCAAGCGAGTCTCCTGCCTCAGCCTCCCAAGTAGCTGGGACTACAGGTGCCCACCACAACGCCTGGCCATTTTTTGGTTGCAGCCATCATTGTTGTTTGGTGGGCCCGGGCTGGGGATTCGAACCTGCCACCTTAGGTGTATGTGGCTGGCGCCTTAGCTGCTTGAGCCACAGGCGCCGAGCCATAGCAACCTCAAACTCTTAGGCTTAAGTGATTCTCTTGCCTCAGCTTCCCAAGCAGCTGGAACTATAGGCGCCCGCCACAATGCCTGGCTTTTTTTTTTTTTTTTGGTATAGTTGTCATTGTTGTTTGGCAGGCCGGGGCTGGGTTCAAACCTGCCAGCTCCGGTTTATGTGGCTGGTGTCCTAGCTACTGAGCTATAGGCACCAAGCCAGAACTGAGAATTTTAAAAAGTTATGCTACGGAAGAGTTGAAAACTCTCAGTAATGCTGGGTTTCTTGCCATACAATGTCACAGAATGAGCCACATACAGATCTTTGTATCATTTCCCAACTATTTTTTTCTTTTTGAAAACTCATTTTGAAATACTTCTAGACTTACAGAGAAGTGTAAAGAGAATACAAAGAGCTTTATGCTCTTTATCCAGAATCTCCAAATGTCAACAGTACACTATGCTTGCTTGTCATTCTCTATACCCACACATTATTTTTTTAACCTTCTTTGTTGTTTTTGTTTTTTTGAGACAAGGTCTCACTCTGTTGCCTAGATGGAATACAACGGCATCATCATAGCTCACAGCAACCTGAAACTCCTGGGCTCAATCGATCCTCTTGCTCAGCCTCTGGAGTACTAGGACAACAGGAGCCTGCCACACCCAGCTAGTTTTTCTATTTTTTTGTAGAGACGGGGGTTTCCTTATGTTGGTCAAGCCATGATAAAATGTAAACATGATGCTGCCCTTTTATCCAAAATACTTTGGTGTGCTTTCTTTTTTTTTTTTTTTTTTTGAGACAGAATCTCAAGCTGTCCCCCTGGGTAGAGTGCCATGGCATCATAGCTCACAGCAACCTCCAACTCAGACTCAAGTGATGCTCTTGCCTCAGTTTTTCTATTTTTAGTAGAGACAGGGTTTCACTCTTGCTCAGGCTGGTCTTGAACATGTGAGCTCAAGCAGTCCACCCACCTTAGCCTCCCAGAGTTTCCTTTAAAAAGGAAATTTTCTTATACTACCACCAAGCAGTTAGCAAAATCAACAAATTCACAATGATATAGCACTATGACTTAACCCAGGTCTTTTTTTTTTTTTTTTTGAGACAGAGCTTCAAGCTGTTCCCCTGGGTAGAGTGCTGTGGCATCACAGCTCACAGCAACCTCCCAACTCCTGGGCTCAAGCGAGTCTCCTGCCTCAGCCTCTCAAGTAGCTGGGACCACAGGCACCCGCTACAACGCCTGGCTATTTTTTTTGGTTGCAGCCATCATTGTTGTTTGGCGGGCCAGGGCTGGATTCGAACCTGCCACCTTAGGTGTATGTGGCTGGCACCTGAGCCACTTGAGTCACAGGTGCGGAGCCTTAACCCAGGTCTTACTCAAATTGTTCCAACTGCCTCACTAGGGTCCTTCAAAGCAAGAGAAAATTTCCAATGTAGGATGCTTCAGTACACTTAGTTACCATGTTCCTTGAGTCTCCTTTACTCTGCAAAGTTTTTTAGTCTTTCTTTACCTATAATGAGCTTGTCATTTTGAAGTAAGATATAGACCAGTTTGCAGAATGTGCCTTAATCTGGGTAGGTCTAATGTTATCTCAGACAGAGGTGATACTGTCATCTCCTGAACATCACACATTTATGAGAAAGCACATGACACCCATTTCATTAATGGTGACATTAATTGAACCACTTAGTTAACTAGTATCCGCCAGTTTTCTCTATTGGAAAGTCTGTATTTTTCTCCTTTATGATTATAATAAGCAAGTTGTGAGGAAATGTCGTGAGACACGTAAATATTATCAAACTTTCACCCACCATTTTCAGCATCTGCTACTTGGTATTATCATATTGCAAGGCTGTGCTTTTCTAACTGAGCACTTTCCACTTATTAGCTGCACTCTGCAGTGAGGAAGAACTTGTCCTTCTCTGCCACGTATTTATTCACAAAACTTTTATTTTTTCTTACAGGCTACAATGCCCTGCCTTGTTTAATGGTCAGTATTTTCTAAAAGAATCATGTGAAATTATAAAATCATATACTGCAAACTTTAGTAAAAACTCAATAATAAGATCAAGTGGCTATAATCTGCTATATTTGCTATCTAGGCAAATCTGACTGGCACCTTGGGGAAAAGTCAAACTTATAGATTAAAATAATTTATCCCTAAGAGATCATTTTTCCATTAATGGATTAGACTTTAGGTCTCCTGTGTCATGGCTCTGTGCTCTAAACATCTACCCAAATGCACTCAAATCTAAAACCAAGCACAATTTTTGTATTTCACAACAATGCCAACCATCAAGACACTGGAATGAAAATTTTAAAATAAACAAAAAAATCTTTTAATACAAGTATTAGTAAGGGACACAAAATTTAATACTTACAGCTGTGTTGGAAGCATTGTACCGTAAGTAGACCAAAGAGTCATATCACAAAGTATATGGCCTTGAATAGTTAATTTCCCTTTCCATGGAGAGCTGAGAACTTAAAGAAATGAAGGTAAGAGAGAAATAGATTATTTATAAAAGAAACATTTACTTAAAAAAAAACTAAGAATCAATGAAAGATTTCTTACCATTTTCACTGAATTCAAGTCTAGAAAAGAAAAGAAAGAAAAGTATTTTTATAAGAGCATAACAACAAATCCAGTAAAACAAAGCATGTACATAATTACTTACATGCTTTTGTAAGCTGGTGCTGCCATCTTTGTAGGTTCCCTGTATCGAAAAGCTACAATTACATAAGGACAGATCTGTCTAGGCCGCTCAGTAACAGTGTTGCCCGAGAGTTCATAAAGGTAATACTGAAAGAAGAAAGGTAAGTATTATCAGGGTGCGTCACAGAACTGCGTATGTACCGAGTTTATCTCAACCCCCAAACCCTTAAATTTAACACATTCCATTCAGAAATACATCTTGGCTATTTTTTATTTACAGATGACTGTACCTGACTCAGTTCAAAGGCACGAAAATGACTTGTCTTGTGAGAAACCTTGTTAGTGTTTGCAGCAACGTGGCAATCGTAGCCAGAAGACGGCCTAGTATAGTTAGCTGTGAAATTCTCAGACACAAACTTGACTTTTCCCTAGAATAAAAATATTAAAGCTAATCAGATGTCTTCAAATAGCAATAACCTTCACTCTAAGATTCATTTAGAAGTAGCCTAACAAAGAGGTGGGTATATTTCAACTAATGGAAAGTGTATTAGCAACTATGCTTCTTAAAAAAAAGTCATCTTAAGTCATAATCATCTGAGAAGACTTAAAATTTTATTTACAAATAAAATGTGTTTGAGTTATCTAAGGCAAATATCCATAGTTTTAAATCACCATATCAAAGGGAATAAAGGAGTTACCCCAAATTTAAAAGAGTTGTTTCTTTAAAGAAAACTATATAGCTGTGTCACTGGGCTAGAGTTCAGTTGTGTGGTCACAGCAACTCCTGGGCTTAAGCAACCCTCTTGCTTCCTTGCCCAGGGTGGTCTCCAAACTCTTGGGCCCGAGCCAATCTCCTAACCTTGACCTCCCCAAATGCTCAGATTACAGGTACACCCAGCCTAGCCCACCATATTTTATGTTATAGTAGTCACTGACCGGTTATTACATGACTAAAACATAAAAAATGACCAATAAATTTCAAAAGATGAGTCTCCAAACTGAATTATCAATCGCAAATTATAGACTAAGATACTTCTGTTATGAAGGAGCAGAAACAAGGAACCAAGCACTCAGCAGGTGGCCAGACTTGATCATTGCACAGTCCACAGAATATTTCCCTCACAGATTTCTCTTCAAGGGTTGCAAGACTCTCAAAAACAGAAGAAAAAAAAAGCCAAGTATACCTTATAATAAAATATTGTATGATTCAAAAAGTTGTTTCAAATGACATAAGAAAATGTTCACAATAAAAAGTTAAGGCTCGACGCCTGTGGCTCAAGTGGCTAAGGCGCCAGCCACGTACACCTAAGGTGGTGGGTTCGAATCCAGCCCAGACCCGCCAAACAACGATGATTGCAACCAAAAAAACAGCCGGGCGTTGCGACAGGCGCCTGTGATCCCAGCTACTTGGGAGGCTGAGGCAGGAGATTCGCTTGAGCCCGGGAGTTGGAGGTTGCTGTGAGCTGTGATGCCCCGGCACTCTACCCAGGGGGACAGCTTGAGGCTGTCTCAAAAAAAAAAGTTAAAAAAGAATTAGCATATAAAGGTACATAGTATAAACTTCTTATGAGTTAAGAAATCAGTATAGATGGAAAAAAAAAAAAATATATATATATATATATAATAACAATATACCAAAGTAGGATTTGGGACTGTAAGTAATTTTTAAGGAAGAATGTAATTACTTGATCTTCTGTTGTTAAATCCTGCCTCTTCATTTACAGGACCGCCACAGGCAACACAAAGCATATAACTAATACTTCTCAGTCACAATTGCAGCTGCTACCTTGTCCTTATCAAACATCTAATGGCACTGACTGTGGCTCAATTTTGTGAAATAGAGTAAAAAGGATTAAGAGATAAAGGCAAAAAACAGCAATCCCCAGCCAGAAAGGGTGGAATGGGATTCAGTGGCAGGAAACCAAGGCTGAGTACAATGTCCCGTGACTAGAACCCAGCGGCTAGTATATGCGCGGACAAGCCTACTTTCTGCAGCAGCACTTACCCTAGAGCAGGAGGAAGAGGAAAAGGGAGGAAAGCAGAGACTGCTCTTCAGAGCAGTGTTATTTACCCTCTAGTTTTTGAGGAGCAAACTTTGGAATATGAAGAGTCACACTCTTAAAAAAAAAAAGGGTCAGTAGTGTTAGGTTTGTATCTAAAGAATTTAAGAAAGTAAGAAAGCTAAAAACAAAACCAATAAAACAAAACCAGACCACAGCAATGTCCCCCCAAAGCCCACCAACATCTAACATCAGACTGTCCCTACTATGAGGGTAAAAATCCACACTGCACAGTTCCCACAACAGTACTATTTAAGACATTAGGAAATTTGTGAGCTCATCAGTTCTGGGTGCTATGTGAAGCTATGAAAAAGGTCTAATGTTTTATGGAAAAAGAAAACAAAGATTTCTTATACTAGCAATTTAAATCAAACAAAAAATGTCTTCCAAATCCATGTTTTATAACGGTAATCCTATCAATAAGCAAGCTACTTGTTACCCATTATTTCATGTTTCTAAAGCAGCTGACAAGAGGTGAGGAAGACTTTTTAGTGCATACTTTTATTATTTTGAAGTTTTTAATTAAAAAATGCTCAGAGACAAGCTGTAAATGAATAAAAAAGTTGTTTTTAATGAAAAAATCGTTTTGTTTTCCCTGAATTTGAATAGATGTCTTTAGCAAGGACTATGCTCAGCTAATGTTCTACAAAGAATATCATAGGCAGATAATCTTCAGTTTTTAAAAGAAAGTTATATAAAAGCACATCAAGGCTTTACCTTAATTAGATTAAAAATTACAACATAACCAGATTTCCCATGATACCATGGTCTTGGATGAAGATAGTCTGAGTATTTGGAAATGTATACACCTACAAAAGTATAAAATATAGATTAATTGACATTTTAAAAAAATATTATTTATACTGACACAATTCACATGTAAGGCTACCTTTAAGGAATGAGACTACACAAAGGACAAATGTCCATTTTAAACATGTTTCAATATTGCTTATCTTTTAAGGACTATGGGTGATATTCTCAAGGTAAAAAACATTACACTTTAAAATACAGACTTGAAAACCAATTTTCTAGTTGGGTACAACTAAAAAGGATTAATAAAAATTCTAAAATTCTATATTTGTGTTTTTTTCTTTTTTTTTTTTGTAGTTTTTGGCCGGGGCTGGGCTTGAACCCACCACCTCCAGCATATAGGGTCAGCGCCCTACTCCTTTGGGCCACAGGCGCCGCCCTCTATATTTGTGTTTTTTCCTCTCCACATAATCCTTCAACCAAAAAGTCTATGACAATCTGATTCTCAAGTTATTCTTTATAAAAAATATCAGTAAGCTTTTTTATTTAATCACATGTACTACACAACAGTTTTATGATACACAGCAGTGACATAAAGTTCCTGCCTCAAAAATGCTTATTCTCATTACGAATCCTATTACAGCAAGGTTGTATTTGTTCTATTTGCCATTGTAGCTACACCACAGCCCAACGTATGTTACAGATGTTTAAATATTTGTGAAATATCAGGGCACAAAGAAATGGAAATAAGTACTATTAAATGCTGCAAAGTGGTATGTATAAAAAACTGTAAGAACAGAAATAATATAATTTTATCTGACTGGGCAAGAAGTTCTTTAGAGAGAGCAATGAAATCCTAAGTAGAGAAGAGAATGAACGAAAGCATTTGAGGTCTGACAATGAAGTTTGCAAACTCATCCTAGAAAAAGTACTCCCTCGCTGCTGAGTGTCACTATGGGGCCTTCAGAGGACTCCCCTGGGGAAGCTGTGCACTGATGCCAGTGTCTAGTTTAAACTTCAAAGCAATTTTGGAACTCTTTCTGGAATGACCTTCAGAGCTGTTGTCCTACAAAGTAAGACAATTAAGTTCTCGAGCTTATCGACACGTGCCTATGTTGGTAGCACTGTACAACTTGGTAAGGGTTCATCACCCTGGTGTATCAGTGTCTCACAACTGTGCCTACGCTGACGTGTGGCGGTGTCTTGCTGAGTTGTGTTCATTACTGTTACTTGGTTTTGTGCGCTGTATGATGACAGCTCTGATGGTCATGCTAGAAACAAAGCTCCAACACTGCTCTGAAGGGCGGCCTACACACTGGCATCAGCACATAGGTTCCCAAGGGGAGGACTTGAAGGAGACCACAGAGATATTCAGCAATGAGGTGTGTAGCACTTTTTCTAGGATGAGTTTGAGAACTTAATTATCAGACCTTGTAAAAGCATAAAAGACCATCGGGTGTTTAGAGCACAGGCCACAGAGTTGGAAGCAGAGGAGAAAGCAGGGGAGACCGAGGCTGAAGGGGAAGGCTGGAGCTGGACAGCAAAGAACAATCTAAGGTTTTGAACAGCACGCTGCCCACTGGAGAGGAAAGACGAGGGGAACAGTTAGAAGTAGCTGAGGCAGGCAAAGAAGATCTCAACGAGGCAGGAGCAGTGAAAACAAGGAGGGAAGGACAGACATCAGAGCTCTTCCTCACAGAAACATCTCTCCTGAAATATAACAGCAAAGTGAGAAAAGTGTGATGTAGTGGAAGAGAGTGACAAATCTGTGGTCAGAAGCCTGGGTTCCAGGTAGGAGCCTCAAGGTTCTCATGAACATTTAAAAACATGAAACGTCATAATGATAGAAAGTATTACTATTACTATTACTATTATATAATAGAGAAGAATGTGTATTTGTCAGTAACAACCCACAAAAAATCACGGGATTGGGGCGGTGCCCGTGGCCAGTGGGTAGGGCATCAGCCCCATATACCGAGGGTGATAAGTTCAAAACGGGCCCTGGCCAAACTGCAACAAAAAATAGCCAGGTGTTGTGGTGGGTGCCTGTAGTTCCAGTTACTCGCCTAAGCCCAAGAGCTACAGGTTGCTGTGAGCTGTGATGCCATAGCACTCTACCAACAGTGATAAAGTAAGACTCTGTCTCTAAAAAAAGAAAGAAAAGAACACCAAACAGCACCTGTGAAACTCAGGTGACGGGCGTGTTATATTGTGCTCTCCACTTTTCCTACATGTTTGAATTTTTCATAATGAAAAGAGGGTGAAAAAATAGAGAAGAAAAAAGGTTTTATGTAGAGTTGCTGGGGTCATCAATTTATAAGCTTTAACATTTAGAAGATGAGGTGAAGGAAGTTTGAAAACTTTTTGCTCTACACAGACTTCCCAATATGCCCCAGTGACCCCACTGCTAGTGATGTAATCAAGAGAAATGAAAACCCATGTCCCCACAAAAACTTGCACACGTATGTTCATAGTAGCATTATGCATAACAGCCAAAGGTCAGAACAACTCAAAACGTCCAAGAATTGATGAACAGACTTTTAAAAATGTGCTATAACCATAACATGAAACATGGTAACACACCAGAGACATTACAGTCAATGACGGACCAGGCATATGACAACGGTGGTCCCCTAAGACTATTAATGCCTATTTTAACTACCTTGTCTATGTTGAGATACACAAACATTTACCATGTCTTACAATAGTATAGTACTCCGCACAGCCACACAGTGTGCAGGTTCCTAGGAGAACAGCCTGCACCTCCGTGTACAGTGGACCATGCCACCTGAGTCTGAGCAAACACACTCTATGACTTTACTCAACTACAAAATTGTCTACAACCCACTTTTCAGAATGTATTCCTGTCATTTAGCAGTGTATGACTGTATTATTCACCCATAAAAGGAATGAAGTACTACTGATACATGCTACAACACTGAGCTGTACATTTTAAATCGATGGATTCAATGGTATGTGAATTATGAGGTTGGACAATCAAGTTTGCAAAATCATCCTAGAAAAGGTGCTACACACCTCATTGCTGAAAATCACTACGGTCACAGATGGCCAAGGGTGTACTTCAAAGGTAACCATACTGATAATCAGCGAGGTGAGTAGCACTTTCCAGGATGAGTTCACCAACTTAATCGTCTGATTTCATGTATCTCAATAAAGCAGTGTTGTTTTCTAAAAAAGGTCATCAGCAATCTAGCCATGAAGCCCCATTGTCTTTCTGGGTCCTGACTTCAACATTCTACAGCACCTGGCACTGTTAAACATCCCCCCTCTTCCTGAGATCTTCTGCACTTTGTTTTTTTTTTTTTTTTTTGAGACAGAGCCTCAAGCTGTCGCCCTGGGTAGAGTGCTGCAGCATCACAGCTCACAGCAACCTCAACTCCTGGATTCCAGTGATTCTCCTAACTCTGCCTCCCAAGTAGCTGGGACTACAGGCGCCCACCACAACATCTGGCTGCTTTTTGGTTGCAGCTGTTATTGTTGTTTGGTGGGCCAGGCTGGATTCGAACCCGCCAGCTCAGGTGTATGCGGCTGGTGCCTTAGTCGTCTGAGCCACAGGCACCAAGCCAGATCTTCTCCTTTTTATGACAATATTTTCTGATTCTTCATTCAAAGAACTGCTCCCGATACCTTCTCATGCTATGTGTTATGCTCCCTGCATCTCCCCACACCCATAAATGATCCAAAGTGCTGATCCTCACTTTCTTCTATACCATTTCACTAACAGTGTCTGGGCTTCAACATACACCCACTCTTACCAACCCAGCTTCAAACACAGTTCTGATTCCTTTCCCAGCTATTTTTATTTTATTTCAATTCATTTTTAGAGACAGAAACTATTTTGCTCAGACTAGACTTGAACTCCTGGGCTCAAGTGATCCTCCTGCCTCAGTCTCCAGAGAATCTGAAACTATAGGCATAGGCCATGGCAGCCAGCAACTATTTTTACCACTTATAGGCTATTTTTGAGAAACATTTATGAAAATCTCATTATTTCTCAAAGTTAACTCACAAAAGTAGTACTGTCCACTCACTGAGGACCACATGCCAGCTCCTGGAATAAGCATTTTACATAGCCTCATTTATTCTTCACTACAATTCTGTAAGGTAATTTAATCTACTGTACAAATGAGCAACTGCAACCTCCAACTCCTGGGCTCAAGCGAGTCTCTTGCCTCAGCCTCCCAAGTAGCTGAGACCACTGGCGCCCACCATGACGCCTGGCTATTTTTTGGTTGCAGCCATCATTGTTGTTTGGTGGGCCCAGGCTGGATTCGAACCCGCCACCTTAGGTGTATGTGGCTGGTGCCTTAGCCGCTTGAGCCACAGGCGCCGAGCCTAGATTACTTTTCTATTAACTCATCAGCTTCCCTACCGATCTGCTTCTCTTTTTTGTCTTTTTCTGTTTTCACTATAATTTAAGTTTAAAACCTTCTATTTGATTATTTCCTCTCCCACCCTCCACATTCCATAGTTGCTACGTTTGTACTAATGAAATCAACTAAACTTCACTCCATCTAGTGAAAGAGAGGTCTTTTCCTTTGCAGTCTTACCTTTGGCTGGATCACCAAGAGTAGTGACAGTGCTCCTGCCAACACGGAGTCCACGCTGACATGCTAATTTTGCCTTTAAACAAGAGATGTTACTTGGCTTATGATTACCAGTCTTTGAAGAGGCAATGAAGTAAGGCTATAATTGATGAACTTGAAAATACAATGAATCTGTTCACTGTATGTATACATGGTACAAAGCAAGCTTATGTAAAGCAACTGTGTTTGATTACTGCTGCAAAATGTTCATAAAATTTTACCATTTCTACTAACAAAAATGTCACCAACGGGCAGTGCCTGTGGCTCAAAGGGATAAGGCACCGGCCCCGCATGCCACAGGTGGCAGGTTCAAACCCAGCCTCGGCCAAAAACTGCAAAAATAAATAAATAAATAAAAATGTTACCAGCAAAACTAAATTAAATGGTCCCAGATAAAGCCTCTTGTGATTATTTCTTTTACAATTATAAACTTAAAACCACTAAATCTGAAAATATCTTATCTTCACATGTTATTTTTGTTGTGAATTCATAGCACATCTTATTTGGATTTAAAAAGATATAAGCTTTCTAGTATTACTATATAATTCTTATACATTAGTGTTAATTATTCTTTAAGCAAATCTGCCCTTATTCTTTCTAAACCATTAACCCAACCAAACTATTACATCTGAATTACTTTAAGACAGTTTTTTTTTTTTTTTAAAAGACAGAGTCTTAGCTCTGTTGCCCTGGCTGAAACATAGTGATGTCATCATACCTTACTGCAAACCGGAACTCCTGGCCTCATGGCAATCCTCCTGCCTCACCCACCCAAAGTGCTAAGGTTATAAACATGAGCCACTGTGCTGGTCAAATTATTTTATTTTTTTTATTTTTTTATTTTTTTGAGACAGAGCCTCAAGCTGTCCCCCTGGGCAGAGTGCCGTGGCATTACAGCTCACAGCAACCTCCAACTCCTGGGCTCAAGCGAGTCTCCTGCCTCCGCCTCCCAAGTAGCTGGGACCACAGGCGCCCGCCACAACGCCCGGCTATTTTTTGGTTGCAGCCATCATTGTTGTTTGGCGGGTCCGGGCCGGGGATTCGAACCCGCCACCTTAGGTGTACGTGGCTGGCGCCCTAGCCGGTTGAGCTATAGGCGCCGAGCCGGTCAAATTATTTTAAGTTGTAATAAAAGATCTTTAATTCTGTTTAAATTATATCTAGGAAGCCATACATACCTTTGGAGACGTACCCTGTACACAGTTCTCTTTTCCCACATTTTAGATACAGGCAACTGTACAACAGGGATGACTGAATAAAATAATTCCAACTAACTAGAACGCTGAAAGCATCCATCTTATCCCCCAAATAATGTAATTTATTATTTATTCATTTATTTTTGAGACAGAGTCTCACTTTGTTGCTCTTGCTAGAAGGCTATGGCATCATAGCTCGCAGCAATCTCAAACTTGGGCTCAAGTGATCTTGCCTCAGTTTTTCATTTTTAGTCGAGATGGGGTCTTGTGCCTGCTCAGGCTGGTATTGAACTCAGCCTCCCAGAGTGTTAGGATTATAGATATGAACCACTGCACCCATCCAAAATCATGGAATTTAAACTTGAAAGGTCTCAACAGGAAACAAAATACATCTATGTAAATGATCAAAAATGGAGGAATATCTGGATATTCACTCCATTACAGGGCATTACTGACACTTAAAAAAACCTATATTAATCCAAATCTTACCCACTTACAAACAAAGATGGCCAGGGCACGGTGGTTCAACCCTGTAATCCTAGCACTCTGGGAGCCCGAGCTGGGTGAACTGCCTAAGCTCATGGGTTCTAGACCAGCCTAAGCAAGAATGAGACTCCATCTCTAAAAATAGCCAGGTGTTATGGCTGGTGCCTATAGTCCCAGTTACTCAGGAGGCTGAGGCAAGAGAATCCCTTAAGTCCAATAGTTTGAGGTTGCTGTAAGCTATGATGATACCATGGCATTCAGGGTTGGGCACGGTGGCTCACGCCTGTAATCCCAGCATTCTGGGAGCCCAAAGCAGCTGGACTGCTTAAGCTCACAAGTTCAAGACCAGCCTGAGTAAAAGCAAGACCTCATCTCTACTAAAAACAGAAAAACTGAGACAAGAGGATCACCTGAGCCCAAGACTTAGAGGTTGCTATGAGCTATGACATCATGGCACTCTACCCAGGGAAATAGCTTGAGACTCTGTCTCAAAACAAAACAAAAAAACTAAAGAGAAATCATGAAAAGCTGTAGACATCAGAGTCCATATCCAAGGTTACTTTGGATCTAAGTCTTCATTAACAAAATACAGTTTCAGGGAGGCGCCTGTCGCTCAGTGAGTAGGGCGTTGGCCTCATATACCAAGGGTGTCAAGTTCAAACCCGACCCCGGCCAAACTGCAACAAAAATAGCCAGGCATTGTGGCGGGTGCCTGTAGTCCCAGCTACTCAGAGGTTGAGGCAAGAGAATCGCTTAAGCCTAGGAGTTGGAAGTTGTTGTAAGCTGTGATGCCATAGCACTCTACCAAGGGCAATCAAGTGAAACTCTGTCTCTAAAAACAAAACAAAACACAGTTCCAGATACCAAATCTCTTCTGGTTTTTGCCAGTGTCATTTATACTACTACCAAACTAACAAAAACACTGAGGAACTGTTAATCAGAAACATTTTATAGAACTGAAGCACCAATATTTAAGACTAATGATACCATTAATGCCACAAAATTAATTTTCTACACCTAATTCCCTTACCTGACTTTCAGTTTCAAAAAGAAGAAACCCGTGAGTTTCTTGAAGTTCTTCCTGAGTATAGTTATTTGCTTTTTTTTGTTGGTAAAAAGTTTTGTACTGTATAAAGAAAGAAAAACCAAATGCTATTTAGCCTTATATTAATTTTTAAAATTCCTCCTGTTATAAAACTACTTAAAGGTATTATTTTTCTATTCCCTAGACTATATTACCTTCCAAGTGACTACTTCCAAGGATCTTTCATCTTACCTGAAAAATGATAGCTGGAAAGAGCTACACTTATGTACCAAAGATGAGGGTCTATTTGTGTTAAAACTAAAACAAAACTATCACACAGTATGTACCAAACACCTCACCTCATTTAAGATAATGTCATTTTTCACCAAAGTCACTTGACTGTACTGAAAACCATGCTCAGATGCAGAGTCCAAGTAAGAAGAGTGGAGGAGCGAAACTGCCCTCTGGAAGATAGAGTCTGAACTCAAGGACACTGTCTCAAAAACTGGAAAACACAAACAAAGATAATGCAGCTGTTTAAGATACCAAAGGATGGGGGTAAGAGGGACGTCCTGACTATCACTGAGAACATCACCTATTCCCTTCCTGTGTAACTGAGAAATTCTCATGTGCTGTGGCCACCATATCTGTACTGTTTTTTTGTTGCAGTTTTTGGCTGGGGCCGGGTTTGAACCTGCCACCTCCTGTATACAGGGCCAGCAGCGCCCTACTTCTTTGAGCCACGGGCGCCACCCTATCTGTACTGTTTTAAATTTGAAAGACATGCCAGATGAAGAAAAATAAATTATAAGTGAGAGTGGATTACTTTTAATACAGAAGCTAAAAGATGTCCTGTCAGGGCCCTCATGCCTGTGGTTGCCTGTGGCAAAAGCAGAGGCAACTGCAGTGTCAAGGCGACGGACGGGCAACAACTGCTTAGACCAATTTCTCATTGGTAAATGGCCTTTAGTTTTTTTCATCCTTTACATTGTTTCTCCCTTGCGTTTTCTCCCAACCTGTGCTCCTTTCTGGTACACTTACCCTCGCCATCTTCTCATCAAATCCCCAAGTCAGCTTGTGGGTTCCATTGGGCCTTCTACCGTCCCCTGACCAGCCAAGGAGTAGTCTATTGAGTTTTACTTCTCATGGGTTGTATTATAAAATTATTTTTTTTTATTTTATAAAATAAAACCGTGTTTTTTGGAAAGTGCATTTTGCAAATGATACTCATGTACTACCCCAGACACTGACGCACCCAACATGAGAGGTGCGCTTCCTAATTGAAAAGTACTGAGGGGTAAGTCTTCATTTCATCAAGAACCAAGCCTAACAACTAACTGCTCCTAATATTTAACCACCTCAACGATTTACTCCCTTCTCTTTGTATTCTTTCTATTCTACTTATCAAGGTGGGAAGTTTATAAACCTATTGGTTTTAAATAATACGAATGGAATGGTTTATATAAGCACTGGAAGTTTTGGTCATATAGCATAAATAAGTACAATCTGCCAAATGCAATAAAGCTCAAAAGTTAAAGGGCAAAAAGTATTTTAATTAACTTATTTATAATAGATATATAGAAAGTAGACTATCACAGGAATGAAAAGGAACATTTTGGTAAATTTACTTTGGATTAAACTGTCCTAATACTTCAATTATCAAGGTATTATAAAAATCCTTCAATAAACATCCTAGTATTGAAATTAAATATTGTAACTAAAATAGGAAAGAAAAAAGGACAAAGTATTGAAGCCTACTCTGAAGCTGGTGCAGCTGGTCTACATATTCGTAAGTTTAATTTGACTTTTGCTCAGTTTCACTTTCTCCTTCCCTATCGTGTACCAGAGCTGTAAAAAGCATGGATACCTGAATGGGGTCAAATAGCAAAACCTCAGAGATAATAGTGAAATTGCAGCTTTAATAGCTGCATTATTTCCAACAAACTGGGAAGCCCGTGCATCTTTAAATTCATATCACAAATTCATCCTTACTGGCCCAAACACAAATCTAGAATCCTTTAGAAAGTATAATTTTGGACACTTCATATTTAATAGTTTTTTTAAAAAGCAAGATAATTTTCAAAAATCTAATTTTATATACTCTGAGACTCAATTTTTGAGAAACACTGTTTATAGCGAAAGAAACAGAAGTTTTAAAAAAGTAACTCTGGGTTGGGTGTGGTCACTCACACCTGTAATTCCAACCTTCTGGGAGCGCAAGGCGAGTGGATGCTTGAGCTCAGGAGTTTAAGACCAGCCTGAGCAACAGTGAGACCCTCATCTCTAAAAAATAGCTGGGTGATGTGGTCTGCACCTGTAGTTCCAGCTACTCACGAGGCTAAGAAAAGAGGATCCCTTGAGCCCAAGAGTTGGAGGATGCTGTGAGCTATGACACCACGACACTCTACCTAGGGCAACAAAGCGAGAGTCTGTCTCTCAAAAAACTAACTAAATAAATAAGGAACTCTACAAATGACTATGATTATCAGCCTCTCTAAATTCCACAAGACATTAATAGGTAAACACAGATTTAAGCTCATAAACTTCTACTCTTGAGCGTCACAATACATAACGAACTGAAAACTCTGAACTAAGAGAAATGGTGCAACTGAAAACATGATTTAACACGGTATTTCCTAAAAACATGTGGTTGGAGAATATTTTATTAACACCAGCATGGGGAATACTGCTCCCAAATGGCAGTATATTTGTAAAAATAATCATTGATGGTTTGCAGAAGGAAAAGTATGTCAAAAGCAAAGTTGTTGGAAAACTACAGCTTATCTGGAATCTTTCATAGCTTCACAATAATGACTTCAAATACACTTTCAAGAAAGCATTAGTTTCCTGCTCTGCAAAGGAGTAGATGGATGAGAATTTTATCTAGAAAATTATTTGACGCTCTCTCTTCTTTACGTGATACTTTCATTTAAGAGTCTAGTTAGCATACCAAACAATATGAATACTTTGTGAAGGAATGGCCTCATTTTTGCTGAGCAATGCTCATGCTTTTAAACATTCAAAGTTATCAGAGTATTTTACAAAAAGGAAGAAGAGGTGATTCCACAAAGAAACCCAAAGCAGCATTTAAGAAGGTAACTTGAAAAGCCCCTAGCCATAAAGTATTAAGAGTCCTCCTTAGGGCTTAAGTGACCGATCTAAAGAGCTTATGGAAAAAGGTTCAGTTAAATCACAATGGCTCTGGAAACCTGAATTTCCGGTAGCCTCTGGCTTTTACAACATTTCTCTCTATTTGTATGTGCAGCCTTAAACGTCAAGTCAAGCTTCATACAGGTTGGAATGTGGTCAAAATGCCTGTGATTACGTCCTTTCTTTCTCAAAATCCATCACAAAGATACTGAGTGAAACTGGTTTTAAACACTCTTTTCTCAACTTCTAATAAAATTATAAACCAACTTCTCATGTTGTCACAGGTACCTGTTTTCTGTTATATAAACATCTAGTCAAAAAGCAGATGATGAGATAAACTAATGCCAACATCTTACGTATAATAATAATTCTAACAAAAACTAGCCACCTGTATACAACCATATCTTCCTAAACTTTAGAAGCCTACAGGATTGCAACCTCCATCTGTCAGTACTAGATACCTATGTATCTTATTTAGTTTAAGTAAGGCTTTTGATAAATGTTTCAAGGAACAGTACATTAATTCTAAAATGTATTATCTTGGCTCGGCGCCTGTGGCTCAAGCGGCTAAGGCGCCAGCCACATACACCTAAGATGGCGGGTTCGAATCCCCAGCCTGGGCCCGCCAAACAACAATGATGGCTGCAACCAAAAAATGGCCAGGCATTGTGGCGGGCACCTGT